CTGCTCCTGACCGCCACTGCTCCTGACCGCCACTGCTCCTGACCGCCACTGCTCCTGACCGCCACTGCTCCTGACCGCCACTGCTCCTGACCGCCACTGCTCCTGACCGCCACTGCTCCTGACCACCCCTCCATTCACGCACTTCTCTACTTAGCATCACCAGTGTAACAGCAAACAATATATCACAAAATACTGCACTGTGTATGCTGTGCTATACATTACATGTAGGCAGGGCCCTCCTTACCATCTTGTCTTGAATTGTATTGTGATTGTAATGTCTTCCTATGATTGGAGGATCTACAGCCGAGTGATACACAAATAAGATACATTGTTGTTCATAATTAAGGTTCGTGAATACATTTTTAAGATTTAACTCCGGAGAGTAGTATCACTTTAATTGAAACATGAGATTGCTTGCTATATATTGCCATTAAAGTATTCAATCTTCTAGAGCTGTAAGGAGCAGCTGAACCATTTCACCGCCATTAATATAACACACGTCAAACTGATTACAAGTTGGCAGAACATTAAAACTGAATATTTAACACTTGGAAAGATGCTGGAGTTTCGGGGTTAGCTCAGGGTGTGGTGGTTGTGTTCTGAAAGGTTATGTAGTTTAGTGATACTTGCAGATACACAATCAATGTAAAAGGATATTATCATGAATGTCCTTGGGCACTGTGTCCTTACAAGTGTACCTATCAATGTTTGCAATCTGGGCACAGAGTTTTGGAACAATGCCTTACCAATATTAAGGCAACCGCTCTTTAGCCTTACCATGCTCGATGTGCCTAAAATACTACCTTATAGAGAGGCAGTGTAAGCAACATACCTGTATATCTGCAACGGGAGGTGTACCCAAAGCGGCATATCTTGTTTTTGTATGAGGTTGGCGGAGAGAATTGTCAAACATTAATACTTGTTATACACACCAACAAGATAGGCAGATGTCTCAGTAAGTACTTACAGCAGGCAGGCATCTGCCCATCCATAAAGTGCACCTGTGCCCAGACTTTGGACATGGAGTATTTGCATGTTCCTAAAAAGCTGTAAACTAGCTTTAAAACAAGTCCTCAATAACCTCTGTAGCTGCAGGGAGCATGGAGGAAAGGAATCCATTAAGTGCCTCTACTCAACAGCGACACTGAAATTGCATTCACCTTCCACTAGTATCTGTAGTAGCAGCAGCCTACCAGCCTTCCAATGTAAATTGTTAGAAACTGACGAAAACCCGGCTTAGAATCTTAAGAGTGGTTTTGAGGATGAATTACTTCAAAGTACATGCAGCTGCAGAGGTCAGTGTGGAATTGTTTTAAAGAGTAAGGAAACATTGTCTCATAACCCTTAGCCCACAACCCTTCCAATCAGATGTAGGCAACCCCCCCTCAAAGTCAAGGCCCACAGGAATGTGTACATTCCTGGTGTCTGCATGTGTGCAGCCTTCTATGGGGCTGGGAGACACATTGACTCCTATACACATACTGGCCTGATAGAAGACTATGGGGCTGAACTGCGCACGCACTGACATCAGGTGAAGGGATGCGACCATTGCCGCACACCTCAGCAGCGAGATCTAGCTCAAGAGGCAGAAGATAAATCAGAGAAAGCTACCTTCCCTTCACTGACTGGTCTCTGTAGAGAGCGGCTCTGCTTCTACATGCCATGTGACAATGGAGGAATCCCACATACACTATTTCCTTGTTCAGTCCGGAGCCATCCAGATACTGTGCGTGTGTGTGTGTGTGTGTGTACCTGCATGACCTACGTGTGTCCCACAGCCTGTGTACACAGCGAGCTCAGCCAATGTTCTCAGATGTTTGTAAGGAACCAGCAAAATGACGGCTACATTCATCTGATGGTTGTTTTTATCTGTATGAGACTTTCACATGTGCCCCTTGATTCTCCATTTCCTGGACTCTAATTCCATCACCATCATGTACATTGTTGTAGTTAGGAAGTATAAATCATCAGTGATTTTTTTAACAGATCAGTTTATTTTATGTTGGGGCCTCGAGCCTCATTGTGGGATCTCAGCTGTGAGCTTAGGGTTAGGGTGTTATTCTTGGACTTTAAAATATATTGTTCTAAGCACAACCCAACCGAATGAATATCATTTCTTACATTTTGCATCTCTGACCACAGACTGTGTCCCCTAGGATCACTTGGATGAACATCAATTTAAAAGAGAACTATGGCCAAACATTTTTGGTGTTCTCGTGAGGGTCAAAGGAGGATATTTACTATGTCCTCCTGTGACCCAAAACTCAGCATATAGCGGGCTATTGCCTGATGTTTCCTGACAGAGCTGACCTGCGCTGCAGTCGGACCAGATCCCGATAATATTGTTGTGATCCACCCTGCCAACTGAATGATAGCTGACCAGAGTCTGCCTCGCCTCTCTAGAGCCATAGCCAGCTGTGCCCGCTCCCTTCCCTGTCTGTCCCTCCAATGAGCAGGAACGGGGAGGGCAGGTGGGCATCCCTACGGGGAATGTGACTGACAGAATATAGTGAACTGATCTGCTGTGTGTGATCGCTCAGCTCTTGATCTATAGAGCCAACATGTGACAGCTTCGGTGTCTAACTATTGGGATGAGTGCATTTCACTCACCCCATAATTTCTCCTTTAAGGTCTCACAAAACAGATATGAAATGTACAGTCGTGGCAGCACCACAACCGTGACAGAACACGTAGATTTAGTCTTTGATGAGAACCCCAAACTACAGTATATTGGCATTCATAACAACACTGACACAATGCACCTGAATATTACATGGCCACAAACCAGGGTAACAATGCTCCCAAATTCTTTGTAAAGTCATCGGGGGAGATCTTTAAAGTCAAGTCTGCAAAACGTCAGAGTTTGATCCATCCATCACGGTTGTTAATACGCTCAGTGTTAATGTGCATAAAGCTGAGAAGTGCACACCAAAATAGCATCACGGTCCTGTTATCATGACTTGTATGCTGAGGGGGGATTTAGCCTGAGACATATTGCTCCTTAAAAGCCGAGTGTGCATGAGCCGTGTGGACGGGTGTGCCTGTGCTGACGCTGCGGCTATTAGCAGCTTTCATTCACTGCTCCTTTCACACCAGCTGCTTGTCGCTGGCACCGCTCAATGTTTTCAGCCGGGAAATCACCAGAGGGCACATTGAAAATAAGCCGAGTACAATGCTCGACTCGGGAACACCGACTTTATTAAAGGATCAGTGTCATGAAAATGACTCCTCTGATAATTCATGTAATGACTGTATCCCATATAGTAAGTCCTTCCTTTCCTATAGTAATTATCCTGTACACACTTACATGCAGATTCATCTGTCCAGGAACAGAGACAGGAGCTGGGACAAACTAAGACACAACCGAGGGGGTGTCTACCATTTTACCTTTTATTAATGTGATTTGAATCTTATTTAATGATGGAGCTCCGCCTCATTTCCTGGCTGGAGGACGTCCAGCATCATCTAAAACTCCCCCTCCCCGGACTGTCTGTCTCTGGCCCACCCTTTTCATGCATTGGATTTGAGTTCTTCCAGACATGGAGTCTCAGCATGACATGTGGGAGTTACCTGGGGCAATCTGCTGTTTCCAGGAAGCTGTGTACAGCCCCTCCCACCAGTCATGATCTGCCTGCATTGCATAGGAAAGCACAGAGACCCATTCGCAAAATATAAGTAGATTATACTTCAGCTTGAAAAAAATTTATAAAAATATGTTGCTGCAATCATTCAAGCCGCCCCAGCAGTGCCATAATTTAACCCAAGCCCTGACACTGTCTATTTGCTCTACAGCTTGGCCAGCATGTAAATGTTGAGAAGAATATAAATAAAGTTATATCAATGAAAAAGAGAATCCATATACTGAATGTTATCATTAGATGTATAAATCACATGACTTATCAGAATAGAATATTGTTCACAATAGCGATTCTAATGGATATATACCTGAAGGTTTCTGTAGTGCACCCGACTTCGGCAGTGAGATGTTTTTGCTGCGTCTTCGCTGCTGTAGAAAAGGCCGCATAGTTTGCAGTAGAAGCCGGTCCTTGGAACCACAAACTCCACACCTTAAAAAAAAAAAAGAGTAGAGACAAAGAATCAGGAAATGTAACAATGCGACTGTCTGTATTCTTTTCTCTTTCTTTGTTAAATTGTTTAGTTACAAGTTTTCTCCGGGTATTTCTGCAAATGAAAAGAAAGCCGGACTCTCTGTGATGATTTGAAATCTGAAAAAGAGTGACAGAGGTGCCGCTTTCATTTGCATTTGGTGCATCAGGAAGAGCTGACCCCACTGAGCCAGCACCCGGGCTTTTCATCGCTGGGAAGGGGGTGCGCTTCCTTTCTGTGTAGGAAGTGTTGGTCTTCGAGAGCCGTGGTTCTCAACTGGTGGGTCACAACCCTGTGTTCAGTGGTTCTCCCCCTAGCACAGCTCTGTCAGTTCTCCCATTGAGCAGCCATTCAAACTATGCTGCCTGGTGCTGAGTGTAAGCTTGAGGTGAGGTGGGCTGGGGTTATGCCCGCAAGGGAGCTCCATCCATACGTGCATTACTTACAGCTCCCTCGCGTGTCCTGTAGAGGTGCCTGGACCGGAGTGATGTCAATTTCTGGCTCCTGGCACCAGCAAGGGAGCTGTACAAGCAATGCACATATGGATGGAGCTCCGTCACAGCACAACAGCCCACACTGGACCCCAGGCTGAGGATCACTCCGGTTCTCATAAGGTAGGGAGACTTTTAGGGATTTTTTTCTGGAGTGTGAGTGAGATTGTCTGTGAATGTGTGAGATTGTGTGTGTGTGTCTGTCAGTGTTTTTCAGGGCCCGTTCACACAAGTACATTGCGTTAATTGCACAGTTCCATGCAATTAACAACACTGTATCATGCAATCACATCTACCGTGCGTTCTGATGTGCAAGGTGTGTTGCATTGCTATTCATTTGAACGGCACCCCAAACGCACCTCCCACCCACAGCTTAATCGCCCGCACCGAAACCGAGAGCTCCCAGTCATACAGTACCAATCTGGAGATGGTAGGACAGGCTACTGATCACATGAGTGGTTTCCTCACCTTACCTTCCTGTGTTCCTTTGTGTCGCACCGCTACACCACCCATCCCAAGAAGGACCGTCTCCCACAACTGCTCCATTCCATCTGGACGGCCGTCCTAAAAGCGAATGATCCACCTACCATAGGTGAGTACATCACTTATCCCTCTCACCAAGCCTCACCACATTTATTGCGCCAGGTAGTGGCGCTTCCGTTCTCCAATTTTGTCTTCCTTTTGATCACATGAGTGGGAAGCTCGGAATTTAGATTTTTTTAAAGCGCTTGCGGGAAGGGATTCATTTTTATTGGTATTTGTCCCCAGTGGGAAGAATTCACCATCCACCACATGCTAGTGACTACATAGGACATGAGCAGATATTCACAAGAATGACAGAGACAGTAATAAAACGGTACCAGGGATTCTCACGCTTCCCCAATCTACTTCTATAATGTTTTTCACTGTCTTTTCCCCCATTGGGGAGATTCACACAACACAGGAAATGAGGGAAAATCTTCCCCAAGGGTTAGAAAAGCAGACCAATGGTCTATGCTTTCATATTCTATCTAAAAATACACAAAAACTAAAGTTTTGGTTGGAGTTGCGCTTAGACATACTGTAGGTTCACACTGCCATGCACACTATGTAAACTGAAGTGGGAAGACATTTGGGTGAACTTGTCATTTCAGCACATGGGCTAATATATACACCCCCCTCTGAATACTCAGCAATGGAACCGAATGTAAATTGCTCGTTTAGAGTAATGTTACTCCCCGAGTGTAGCATACGTACCCAGAGGGATGTTCAGCTCAGTAAACACATTGTCCTGCTCCCAGGAAGGTGGAGAATTAATTTCTTTTGCTTCCAGTTCTGGGACTTCTGGGGATTTCACTTCTGATGATAGAAAATGATTTCAATCAGACATCAGGGAGGAACATTTCAAGTAGATATTGTTTTGAACTAGGAGCTTGGACACAAAGCAGGGAGCCTCAGGTGGCCTCATACACCATGCGAATCTGACCTTTTTGCCAACAAACTCAAGTGTGACCCGTCCCTACCGAATATTAGGGTCACCCATAAGGACCTTCAATGAGCTGTGGGAAGGCAGATACCACCCTTTACATTCTCAGCAATATCTGAGACTTGCATATAACACTCTCCTAGGTTTATGTGATCCTAGAGCACTGTGTACGTGCACATGATGCCATAAAAGGGTCCCACTCCCTTGTCCTTCATTCAGTGGAGTTGGAGCCTCTTGTCACATTAGTTCATGTTCCCTGCAACGGGTCTCATTGAGCCAGGTCACGGTATAGCTAGTAGGAGAAAGTCACATTTAACTGGACTGATTCTGTAATGTGACGTTTCACAGCTTCACAAAGCTACTTCTTCAGTTCTCTTGAATGCCAGAAATATACCTCAGCAGTTATAGCCACAGGTTATATATCACTTCATCCAACCATGAGAAAATAACATCGCCACAGACTTCCTGACACCAAAGATGGGAGTATGTAACTGGGGGGGGGTTCTTGGAGAACTAACCACAGAGCTTCTGTGGGGGATGTTCCTGACAGAACTGTGGCTTAGAGAAGCTGCAAAACATCTTCAACATTACAGAATACGTCCAGTTACGTCCAGAATATGTCCAGTTGAATGTGACTGACTGCTACTAGAAGAGTTGATCCAGGATCGCTTCTGTTGTAAAGCCGACAGTCGGCTCTACAAGTTTAAGCAGACTCCGGGCGGCAAAAGTCGCCGGGAGTCTGTTTAAACAGCCCCGATGCTGGCGACGTACACTGTATGTCGTCAGTCACGAAGGGGTTAAGGCTTTGTCCCTTCCTTTTAAATGAACCATTTTCATGTTTGCTCTCAGTGTTTAACCACAATGTATTGTCGTGACACCATTGTCCAATAAAAAGGACTTATTTATTTTTAAACTCTTTGAGTGCTGGTGACCTATTTCTTCAATTGTTCGTTTTGCACGGTGCCATCCGTGGAGTTACTACAAGCACCATCTTCGTTTATTGGCCTGGACTGCTGAAAGGTGTGCGGAGAGCACCCTCACCTAATTACCCACCCCAGAGACATCTTAATTGACTCGACTAATGTAGCTGTGAGACAGGCTAGCTCATCAGATGTGGTCTAAGAGAGGTGAAAGAATACCCCAGGAATAGGAGGTCATGTGACATACAACAAGCGTCTATGTTACTCCGGACTGTAAATATGATGGCTTTGCCATTGACGTACCGGACATTGAACTCTCACTCTCTCTTTTATTCCGTCTGTCCTCTTGGATGTGCTCGTCCATTGCGGTCACATTGCTGTTGGCCTGACAGTCCGTTCTCTTACAGAGATCTACAGCAGTCTTATCTGTGTATTCGGGATTCTGAGGGTCCATAGTGTGCCCCAGGCCCTCTCTAGCAGGTTCTTTATTTGAAAGTCTGTTGGGACTTTTGGCACTTTCCTCCATTGCGTCGCCACTCGATTCTGGTTTTGCAGTGACATCGGGGGCATTTGCAGCAATCTCACAGCAGCTACTGGCGGGGCTTGCACTCTCTCTTGGGGATGCACAGCTCATTAATACAGAGGAGCACCCACTCCTAGTTCTCTCACTGTATGTGCATTGTAAATCCACAGCATCAATTCCGTGTCCACATATCTGAATGCAGTTGTCGCTGTCCTTCTGGGCCACCGGTACTATTTCCTCAAGTTCAGTGATGTCAGGTTCTACTATAAAATCCTCCTCTCCAACTTCATCTACTGTCACAAGTTCCTCCATGTTTGTCGGGTACCAGCTCTCTCCTTCCAGCTCACTTCCGCTTTCCCAGTCTTGCTCCTGTGAAATGGCACAGACATCATGTTAGCAGACTACCATCCATGCTGGCGGATTGCATATTATCAATACGTTAACCTTTCTGCAATGCTACCAACCGGAAACGACACAACAATCTCCTTAGAAGACTTTCGTTTTTAGAAAAATACATGGTTTGTGCGTCCTGAGAATGCCAAAGTTACCCAAAGTGTGGCCCATGTTCTGTCATTGGTGCACATTCACTGTGCAGGTAGCATCTATGGAAGCAATGCAGTTTATCGCATATCTGGACCCAAGAAAAACATGTTACATAATATACTGCTGCTTACCTGTCCTGAGATGTGGTGGCTGCATTGGTTTTTTTAACCTTTATTTTCACTTATTGCTCATCCATTGGATTTTCTTTTGATATGGGTCCATGAAAAAAAAAAAAATATTACAAGTAGTGATGCACCAAAATTTCGGCCGCCGAAAATTACAATGTTGTCAAAATGCCAAAAGTGCCAACTTTCGGCCGAAATTGTGGTGCATGCCTGGTTTTTCTTCTACCCACTGGGCGCTGTTCTGTGTCCTCTCACAGAAAACTGTGCAGTTTAGGAGGAGAGCACTGTGAGCGGTTGGACTCTCCTGCCTCACCGCCCCACTCAGCCTCCTGTGACAGATCAGGAGAGAAGCGTGTGGGGGCGGAGACAGCTGTCGCAGGAGGCCGGGCCGGCGGTGTGGGGGAGGAGTCAGCTGTCACGGGAGACTGAGCTCTTCTCCTGCCCCGCTCTCTCGACCTCCTGTGACAGCCAATCCAGGAAGGAGAGCGAGGTACAAACACTCAATGATCGGTGAGTGTTTGCAGATAATTGAGGACAGAGTATGGTTACTACAATGGGGCAAAAAAGTATTTAGTCAGCCACCAATTGTGCAAGTTCTCCCACTTAAAAAGATGAGAGAGGCCTGTAATTGGCATCATAGGTAGACCTCAACTATGAGAGACAAAATTAGAAAACAAATCCAGACAAATCACATAATCGGCTGATTTGA